TCCCGCTAGTTCCAAAGCAAGCGAGCACCTTTTGCCAAAAATACTGAAAAAAATACGGCACCCATTGCCAAAAAAAATGAAAAAAGGACCAAAAAGTGCTGACTCATTTTGCCTTCGTATACTGGCATTAAGTTTTTCCTCAGCATCGGTTGTTCTTTTTTGTACGGTTTATGGTCACACAAGCTAAATACTGCTTTCACATATTGGGGGAGCCTCGCCGAACTGCTCCATCCCGCTAGTTCCAAAGCAAGCGAGCACCTTTTGCCAAAAATACTGAAAAAAATACGGCACCCATTGCCAAAAAAAATGAAAAAAGTACTCAAAAGTGCTGACTCATTTTGCCTTCGTATACTGGCATTAAGTTTTTCCTCAGCATCGGTTGTTCTTTTTTGTACGGTTTATGGTCACACAAGCTACATACTGCTTTCACATATTGGGGGAGCCTCGCCGAACTGCTCCATCCCGCTAGTTCCAAAGCAAGCGAGAGAACCAGGGTTTCTTCATTTATATTAATTGATTTGAATCATTTCAATCTGACGTTTTTTGATTTAAATCAAAGGTGTGAAAATTTAAATTTTCTCTGTTGGTCGCGTGTTTTTCCCGCCATTTACACGCCAACTTTTACTCGCCAGTTTTGCAAAACTGGTCTATAGCATGAAGGTTCTAAGCCAAAGCTGAACGTTGATCAAACTTTCACATAATACCCTTCATTTCAATAAATTTTTGTAACACTTTTGGTTTTTCTAAGATACTGTTTTTGAAAAAATCGATTTAAATAAAAAATCCGATTCGTTTGATTTTTCATGTAAATAGGATTTTTGTGCAACCCTGGAGAGAACAACAATTTCCAAAGGTTTGGTACCATTCTTTTAAGAGTAATGAACGTTGTGAGTATTCTTATATAGGTCTTGGTGATTTTTTTTTCAGGGAAAGTCTCAAAATTTGTTCAGGCTCAATTTTGATTTTTCGCGGTTTGACTTGTGATTTATATCAGTGCATTTCCGTTGAACAGCAAAAGTGTAAAGGTCGCGAAAAATGTGATGGACTTCTAATTTCGAAAATAGAAATTAATTATCAGATTTCCCGGGGAAATAAAAGTGTTATCTATTTATCAAGTTATCTCAGTTTTTTCAGTTTTCTTGCGTTCATCACTTTTTTCCAACTGTCAGTTTGCTATGTTTGTTGATAGAAGCAAAATTGAAGCACAGCTTGTCGTTTATTCTTTTTGCATAATTTTCAAATCTTTCGAACTTAAGGGAATGCATTTTTTTGAGGTAAAGGTAGTACGTACGATAGCATGTCTTCCCATTTTGTTGGTGAGAAAGGCTTGAAAGAAATATGTTTCAATGTAAGTAATACCAATGTGATTTGAATATAATGGTTGATTTGTGAACATGTCGTAGTTGCCGCACAAATCAATTCGGTCGTGATCATTATCAGTTGCCATTGGGGTTAGATCTTTCATTTATTTAACAAAGTTTTAAAGTCGAAGGGAATTGGCAGTATATTTATCATTCGCTGCTTGCGCGTTTGTGCAGATGTTTGAATTAGTTTGTTCACCATGAGGAAATTGAGTGCTAAATCTTGTGTTCCTGATAGAACGGCAGTGGCTACTGCAGCAGGTGGTGTAATTGTCTACTTGAGCTCTGTTTAGTGTTTTAGATGTTTCAAAACTCTTTCTTGACCCTTTCCTTTATCGGCGTCCACCTTCATGAGGTTAGCCCGGGTCCTCTGCAGCACCTCTCGCCTTGTAAGGTTAATTTTAGGGATCATTTTATTATATCCGTTGCATTTCTTGTATTCCGGTCGATATTTTGTTGAAAACTTGGCTGCAATGCAGGCTTTCAGGTGGTTCTTTAGGTTGGCTGACTGGTAGAATTTTCTGTCACATCCGATGCATTTGTCGTTAGCATTCTCTGCATGCATCTTTTAAGCGTGATTTGCCATCCTACCCCTCCTATGCATTTGTTGCCGCCTATTCGACAAATTCATGATTCATTTTTCTCGTGCTGTGTTATCTTAATTTCTGCGTCGTCTCGTCCATTCTGGTGATGTGTTTCCTGTCCTCTTGTTTCCTTCATTTTCTTCCGTCGATTTTGTCAATCTGAAAATTACTTCTCGTGCTGTTCTCGTTTCCGTACGGCATTCTTATTACGTGTCTTAACCTTGCAAGGCTCCTCTTTTCAATTTTCATTCGTATAATTTTAATTTTTAGACTGTTCCTGACGTTCCACGCGTTTTGATGCTTTTCTTCCATCTCTCTTAACGGCGGTTTGTTTTTCGTACTCCAAATATAGCGATAACAATTATCTACTGTTGTTTGCAAACGATTTATTTCTCCGACTCTCCATGATCTGGCATGACAGTTGTACAGCATTGTACTTTCCACAATCGCTTCCACAACTCTCGCTTGTGTTCTTTTGTTAATCGTGTATTTTTCAACCGTTTCTTCACTTTAAACCATGCTCTCGTCGCTCTTCTTACTCTTCTCTTTTAGTCTACAGCTTTCCCAAGCCATAATCATAAGAATCTCGTTACTTCTGCTTCGGCCGTTTCTAACGTAATGTTTTCTTCTTTCGTGTTTGTATTTTCTCCAAAGGTTCATGTTGTATTTACTTGTTCCTTTGTCTTTTTCCAATTCATCTGACGTTGCCAGAATTGTCATATCATCCGCAAATAAAACATTTCTCACTCTTACCCATAAACAGTCTTCACTATTCGTCTTTGTTCCATGCAGCAGATTCCGGGTAGCTATTTTATTTCGATTCCAGAATTTTCTCTTTCCATTTCTATTGCTCGTATCGGTACTTGGTGGTATATGTTGAACATGATTGATGAGCTCGGGCATCCCTCCATAATCCCCTTTGTGGTCTCCACTCCCTGCTGAGTTCCTTTCCGCTTCCTTCTTCTTTTCTTGTGTCCTTCAGTTTTTCCAAAACCTCTATAGTTTTCCAAAATTTTCCATATTGGACGGTTGATTCGATGATATATTTTTTTGGAATCCAACAAGCTAGCTAGCTTGTTCTTTAATGCTCCCTTCTAGTTCATTTGTTTGTACTTTACTGCTGTCTTGTATTCTTATCGTTATTTGAGATGAGTCTGCTGTCGATCTTCCTTGTCGGAATCTATCTTGATTGCCGTCGTAGAGACCAAATTTCTCCGCCGCCCAGTCTCTTAGTGTTAAGAGTCGCGCTAGAGTTCTTGTTGTCAATGACAGCAAGCATGTTTCTCGGTAGTTATTTACGTCAGCTTTTTCGCCTTTGTTCTTTTACAGTTGTATAACTTTACCTAATATCACTATATCTTCCCATTTGTCGGCTGATTGTTGAAAAATTTTTCTAATTATTTTGGCTATTATTCTTTTCGGGAGCTGCTTTAATCGATATTATTCGCACGTTATCTTTTGGTGCTTTCTCCCTAGTTTGTTCCCATGCCTCATATATTTCTCCGTCATTTGGAATTTCGTTCATTTTGATCGCGGCTAGTTTTTGCTCTTGTGTTGCAGATGTCAGTGTTTATCCTTCTTGCTTGAATCTTTTGCTGAAGCGTATTCTGGTCTCTCGTTTTCTTTAATTTCCAGAAATGTTCTTTGAATTGTTCTATCGGTATCAGGCTTCACGCGTTGTTTTCTGATTGCGTCTTTTTCTATAATTTCATTCCTTTTTCGCTCTCGTTCCCTTACCTTTCTTTTGATTTCTTTTTTTTCTTGAATTCGTCTACTTTTTTTTTTTTGCGACAACGCTTGATATACGGTCGATAGTTTTGTGTTGTTAAATGCCACCATCAGTACTCTTTCCTGGGTCCTTACTTGACTGCCTTGCTCCTTCCAAGCTCTATCCCAAAATCCTATCAGTACTCTGGCGCATCTTTTGCCTTGTATTACCACCTTATCTTCTTCGTACCACCATTGGGTGCTTTCTTCGTAAGATGATACTTTCGATAACAGAACAATTTTTCACTTCTTCGAGATTGTGTTGAATTCTCCCTCTTCCGTCTATAAGAATATTGCAGTTTCTTATATTCCATATTGCTATCCTCGTTTCTTCCTTTACTCCTTTTTTTGCTGTGATACATTGTTTCATCTGTCGTTTTCTTTTTTCCTCACTTTGGTCGTAAGGTTCTTTGCTATCTTTCCGTCTTTTCTATTTTGGTATTTCCATTTTTCTCGCCTCTTTTCTTTCCCTCTCTCTTTCCTTTTTTTCTTGTACATCTTCTTCATTTTTGTTGCAATCCATTCTTCGTTGCCCGGTCTTGGGTTCGGATGTATCGTCTCTAGTCTTCTCACTATAACTTTCCTCTTTTGTTCTCAACTTAGAGATACTGGCCTGAGGCCCCGTTTGTTTGCCTTCAGTTTGTTTAAGGAGAAGTGTGGCTCGGCTAAGCCTAGACCCCGGCCCTTCCCAAAAAGGGTATCCAGGTTCGCACGTGTTGAAGCCCTTTTCCCTCTTTGGGGCGATGTCCATTTTGCTGCAACACTGTCCACTACTTGTAGGTAGAACATCTTGAATAGCGAGTTTTTGACCCATTCGGTAAAATATGATCATCGTCTCAGTTTTCGATTATTCCGTCTGTAGTTGAAGTTGCGCTGCATTTTGATCTTTATGAACAATTCCAGAACAATGCAGTGTAGTTTGAGAACAGCAAAAAAAACGATTTGGTTAGAATTGAGTGAATAAATTTAGTTGCTATGATCATATCAAATAAAAACAGTTTAACTAAAAAAGCACTGACCAATTTTTAATTTCTGACCAATAGCTATGAGTAGCTGTTTATTTTTATACGGAAGAACTATGTTCTTTGTTTAGTACTTAAAATGGGTTGGAGGAAGATTTAAAGCTGAAGTTGAAGTTGAGTTTCCTTTGATTTAATTTTTAAAGCAGTTACATAGCTGGGAATTGAGATCTACATATAGTTTAACTCAAACGGAATGCTGTTAAAAAATAGAATGACCATAGGAAAACCAAAAGCCTGGTGGAAATATCTTAGTTTTTGAAATTTAGGCCTGAAGCAGCAGTAGTTAAAAAGAAGCGGAAGAAAAAAAAGAAGAACAAGAGCGGGTCTGGCGTTCTAAACGGAGACACAAAGAAGGAGACTGAGCTAGACACGGACGAAGAACTTGAAAAGATAATCAAAGAAAAAGAGCAACAGGCTGTATTGAATTCAGATTTCTCCGATGAAACCAAAACAAGTTTGCTGGATGATGCGAGACATTTGGGAACTACTACTCAAGCTCAATCATGCCTGTCAATTGATGCTCGATTTCTATTGGCCGAAAACGAAATGGTCAGGATGTTCGGCTCTGACGTGTTCAGAAATATGAACAAGCAAAAAAGGTAAATTAAAACTGGTGTCGTTTTGTTAAGACTGCACTCAAAAAATTAGATATCGGATACTTATAACGATTTCTAGAAAATAATGATTTTTGCAAAGCATGTAATTAGTTTTGAAAATCAGATTGAGCTAATAATTTAAAAAAAAAACGAAAATCTTTGATCGCAAAATGTTAATAAATTGAGCTCTGTGAAGATAGAGAAATTTTTTTCCAGTTTTTTGAGATTTTGGAAATCGTGATACACAATTGTGAGTTCTTCAGTGCTCTATCTTTTTTATGATAAACTCTGTTTGTTCAATTGTTTCAGATCTCACAAACATCCTCAGAGCCGAAACACTTTCAAATTAGCCAAATACCCTCCAAACTCACCCACAATTCCAAAGGTGGGTATATCAATGACCATGTTGAAGCATGAGGCCGATAGATACATTTTCAAATTCGAGCACTCGAAGGAGTACCAGAAAGCACAAATTGCTTTCTGGAGTGCAACACATGGTATGCAACACGAGGGCCTGATGCGATTGATGCAGCAAAACTGGTTCCACCTGGACACTTTGATACAGGCCAGCAATCTGTTTCGGATGAATGATGATAGTCAGAATGCGGCAACTCTGATTGAAAGAGCTTTGTGCATATCGGAGTCAGCGTAAGTTCAACTTAATGAGTTGATACTACCGCTACATTATTTTTGAACGGATCATTTTTCGCGCATGGGATCTTTTGGCACATAAGATCATATGGCTTATGGAATTCAGTTTCATGTTACCAGCCTTTTTCCGTCTGAGGCTTGTCACCGTCGTGAATGAAATGCATATGATAATTAGATCAGTTGCTTGCTATATATTGAAGCCAGTTTTGAAGCAAGTCGAGGTTGTTGGCTCAGTCGATAAAAAGACATCAGTATCCAAAATAGCAGTATCAGATATTAGCTCTGTGAGTTCGAATCCGATAAGTAGCCGAATTTCGACTAATTCGGGGCTAATTTCTTCTTTTTCGTTTTGCACTTTCTCGCTAGTGATTGCGAAGCGTAGCTTTGACTCTGTTCAAAAATGGACTTTATTGTTCCGATTTCTTGGCGTAGTTAAACATTATCTATCCGTCCATTTTTCTCTAAATGGTATATTTTTTCAAAAATGTCCCAATCATAAACAGCATTTGAAATTGAAACTGCTTCCTTGTGATAATTTTTTGTTCGAAAATATGTTGCAAATTTTTGGCAGAATTAAACATTATATATCCATCCAGTTTTCTGTAAATTGTACAATTTTACCAAAATGTCCTAATCATAAACAGTATTTGAAACTGAAACAGCTTCATTGTGATTATTTTTTTTGTTCGAAAATATGTTGCAAATTTTTGGCAGAATTAAACATTATATATCCATCCAGTTTTCTGTAAATAGTAAAATTTTACAAAAATGTCCGAATCCTAAACAGTATTTGAAACTGAAACAGCTTCCTTGTGATAATTTTATTTTTTCGAAAGCTTGTTGCGAATTTTTGGCGGAGGCAAAATTATCTACCCATCCAGTTTTCTGGATGCGTTGCGTTCGTTTGTTTTAAAAATGTCAATCATGAAAGATTCTTGAAATTCATGTTAAGGGTCGTGAGATCAATAACATATGTTTTAGTTTCCATCCCATGTTCTCGTTGACTTCTGGAAAATGCAGACTTCCGTACAAGTATCCTGAAAACAGAAGTCTATACATGGCCATGTTTCACCAGATCCACTTTCTAACCAAAAAGGGATGTCACAGAACGTCTCTGGAGTTCTGCAAACTTATTCTCAGTTTATCCCCTGACGATGACCCTTTGTCAATTCTTTTTCTTATAGACATATGTGCTATCATGTCTAAACAGTACAAGTGGCTGATCAATTTCTACAAAGTTTGGAACCCTCTGAAAAATCTGCACCAATTGCCTAATTTTGCATACTCGGTACCACTTGCTGAGTTTCTGCTCCATGATAGTGAAAACTCAAAATACGATGAAAAACAATTGGATAAGAAGTTACAAGAGGCTCTCATAGCGTTTCCCTCAGTTTTACCAGAATTGTTGAATTTGTGTAATATTGACGCTGACGCAAAAACGGAAAGAAATAGATACTTCGGAATGTCAGCTGACACTAATCAGTTGACAATAGTGACTCAAATGTGCAGGTTATATGCTCATAGAATATTTCATGTGTGGAAGCAACCCGAAGTCATGAAGTGGCTAGAAAGATGTACAAAGGTAGCAATAGAACGGGTAAAATCAAAAGACTCTATGGTCGCGAAATCACAAAATAACAGAAAGTCACTGTACAAGGGAACCCCGCGTAATGTATACAGACATTTTATACTCTCAGATGTGAAAGAGGTGCCCGCAAATTTACCAGTTGAGCTTCAATCAGCGCCTTTGTATTCTTATGATCCTCTGCCACCGCCGGATACTGAGACCAGTTACGAACGACCTCCATCGCCCACGAGCAGATCCAGGTACCCTATTGGCAATAACCTTCTGTCGACTTTTTTGGAAGCGTTGATGCCACTTTATGGCGTAGAACAAGAAGCTCTGAATCAGGCTGGGGTCCGAGGTATTCAGATGGAGAACCCTATCGAGGTTTTAGGTGAGGGTATACAGCAAGTACCTGGCGACAATATTGCTGGAGGACCGTTAGCCGATGTCCATCAACTCGAAAATAATGATGCAAATGGGGGAAATTTAGGCGGTCAAGGAGCTGTAGCTAATCGTGAAAATCTTTTAGCCATGTTGAGAAACTGGATGCAAGTTCGAAACGATGCACCATTTGACCTTGAAGAGCGGGCTAATAATGCTGAAAATGATGAAGAGGAAAGTTCTGAAGGCGCTATTGGCGGTCTTGTTGAAGATATGACCCAAATGCAAATGGATGAAAACCTAGCACTAGCACTGGCCGCTCAAAGTGAAGATGATGATGAAACGGGAAATAATTGACTTAATAGTTCTTTTGGCATTAACCAAACTGGTGCTTGAATATTATAAATAGCTGAATTTACATTGCCATAAATTTCTTCTGTAGACGCCAAGTTTAGATATAGTGACACATTGAATGTTTATTGAAGTTACGAGACAGATTATTAAATTACCACAATCTTGTTTTAGAACTGTGTTATGTGTTTGCCCTTAGATGAAACTAAGGAGAAAAGTTTGACTGAAAAATTTGAGTTTTTTTCGCCTGCCGAGACTATTTTCACGGTCGAACAATTGGTGTCGACTGCTGAAGAAACGGAAAATGGGGACAACCTAAGGATTACCATTGCTTCCGATCCGAGCGATGATTGCGCAACTGACAGTGGTGAAAATGATGACGTAACGAGAGAGAATTACGTCATATCGGTGTCGACAGATGAAACTTTTTCTATCCGTCTGTTCAATCGAATTTTGAGCTTGTCCGATGATTCAGTTGACATTGGAACCAAAAGATGTAAATTTGAAAATTGTGACCATGATATTTTACCGAGTGCTTCCTATTGTTTAAAACATTTCGCCGCAAATGATGCTGACCAGAAATTGTTTGAGTTTTGTCGGGCCAGGCATACGGATTTCTCGCTTTGCAAAGCAACGGTTCCTCTGATTAGCAACGTGTATCACAAAGCTAATATTCCTCTAAGCTTGAGTGCTAAACTGTGCGAGGAGCATTGCAAGATTGCTTCAGAGGCAGAAAAAGTTAGACTCAAAAGTCAGAAAAAAATGAATTATTTGGAAAGGTGTAGGGCCAAACGAGCTCGCAAATTGGCACGAGATGAATTGAGAGCAGCAAAGTTGGAAGCCATGAAAAAGAAGAGAGAGGCAGCCGAAATGAAAGGAGGTAAGTTTCCCAGGAAATAAACGCCATCTGAAATTTGTTACTGCAAGACATGTGTCTGCGTACAAAGTTATGACATATATTGCTACACAGTTTGATTACACTGTCGTCTTTTAATTTGATTTCGAGTAGATTCTTTTTTAATTATCGTTTGACAGTCTCGATAATGTTATTCTCGTTGCTTGCGAGGGTGAGAAAATTAATCAGCCTAGAAAAATATCTTAGATGCTTGTCCTTAGAATAAATAGGCAAAATAAGTCAGCGTAAAACATGAACAAATGAGTCCTACTCATGTCATTTCGGTAAAGGATGAGTGACTTTGATGTGTTATATAGGGGAGAAGAGAGCTCGAGTGAGTGCCACTGTGCGTATTTGGAAGAAAAGGAGGAGACGACAGCCGAGGATGATACAGACAGGCGGAAAGAGTCTGACCAATATCCTGAGCAGACCCTACCCGGACTACGAGTGGGAACTCAGCAACTCCCAATCAAGTAACTTCTTACTAACTAGGACGGTCCTAATTAGTGTTCTTGAAAAAGTTTTTTTTTGCATTGAATAGTAAATATTATCTTGCATGCTGGTGGGGTCATACGTCGTTCTTTGATGCTGAAAAACGAATTGAAATTGAATATACTTGCCTCATATAAACTTAGGAATAGAAATTTAGTACCTCATTTCAAAATGAGGGATCCTCGAACTTTCTTTCAATTCAGGTTCTTCCGAAAGCGCTTCGATTACTGGGGGTTTCTCAGAACCGGAGAACAACACAATCGGAACATTCTCAACTGCCAACCAGAACCATCACTCGGAACCATCTTCGCCACTAGAAGGGTCTCCGAGCTCCAAGCTTTTCGAAGATGCCAAGAGCGAAATATCTAACTTTGCCAGACCGCCTCCTGCTAGGCCTCAGGAACCTCTAACGCCAGAGCTTTCAGATGATTCTCTACAGGGATTGCAACTTCCGGGGTGCCTGGAATCGCCCAGCTTTTTCACTAGCTTTGACTCAAGGGATCCGGACATGAACCCAGAGTTCTGTTTTACAGAATCCTTGGATAAATTCATGAGTGGGGTTCTAGATGGCGTGTTGTCCCCGAATGAACCTGGAATTGAAGGATTGATGAGCTGTCCTAAAGAGACAGACGGGACATGCGAAGGTGCGCCTGGCGCCGAAGGAACTACTCGAGTTGATATTCCCAGCAAGGACGAAAGCATTCACTACTCATCTACTACAGCAAAAACGTTCGAAAAAAGTTATCCATGTTCAATCGGAGAACATTCCAAACGATTTGAAATTGAGGACACAACAAAACACGTGGAATTTGTTCCTTCTCATCAGAGTTCTGTTATCATGGCGGATCATGATTACTCAACGGTATCTGGTATCAAAACTTTGTCTGGCTGCCTTAACAGTTCCCTGAAAAGTGAGGGACAGTTGCACCCTAACAAGTGGTTGGATATCATACCTTCAACTATCCATTTACAGCCGAAAACCGCCCAAAATGCAACAACATCTGTGAAGGGAAAATTTGTCGATGAAAAAGATTTGAAAAAAGACCCAATCTTGTGTCAACCCAAAGCAGACGCACTTAAAGTTGTCCGAGTAAAGTTTCGAGCCCCGATCATTGAACGGGGAAAAGATCCTCATTTTGGATCGTCCGTGAAGACCAAAACTGTTGTTTGCAAAAAGTCAAGAAGAAAAGCGAATTTCATGTCAAATGTTAATCGTAGAGTCGGGAATCGTCTGGATATTGCGTAACAGTGGCTGGTATGCGTGGTGCTCATTTTTCATCTCATTTTATTTCTATTTTTTAGAATCTCGTTTAATCCTATCAGGATTGGCTAATTGTATTTATTGAGTTTAATTGTGACCATTCATTTATACGAGGAACTGAATTCCACCACTTCTCATTATTATTTTCGTTACTCTTATATTTTGGGTAACTTATTTTGACGTGTTGAAATAATTATGCTCATTGCACTGCTAAGTGTTTAACGCAGCATACTTAACTAAGTGTTATGATTGTAATTTGACTATAATGGGAATCCATAAATCCCGCGATCGATTTTCAAGCAGACGGAGACTAGTTGTTCATATATGGCTCCATGCGCTTGCAAAATCGTAGAGCCGTATGTGGCTTCAGAGTTTATTAAAAGAAAACCTTTTCGACATTCATATTCCACGGCGGGTGTTTCATTTTTTTTCATTCCGTTTGCAGTTTTATCCGAATTTATTTATTGATATGCGAAATTGTGTGCAGCCAAAAGTAATTTTAATGTGTTAATTAAATTTTCCCCTACTATGTTGATATTTTTCAGATTATCTACAAATTCTAATGCGAAATCTTAAAAGCAAATTCTATATTTGAAATTCAGTGTTTGAGAAAACAGTTTCAACCTTGATTGTACCGTCAGTTAAGCGTGGATCTAAATGAGAACCATAAAAGAACACGAAATGTAGTGAAGTGACAATTCGTAACATGCGAAAATTCGTAACAGTCGATGAAGCGTTGAACCCTGTTTCAGGCGCACATTAACAGTTTTGCCGAATAAAAGCGCAGTAAAGCCAGGAGTCGCTAATTGGATAGACATTGTTGTTCCGACTTTCGATACGAAAGTAACGGAATATTTGAGCTCGGGGTGGGTTTTTTTTCTTCAGACAAGTTTCGACTTTTTACCTAGCCATTTTTGACGGAATTTTTTTATATCATTCAGAAAGTATTGTTGTCTTGAGCTTAAATTTGAAAAGATATTTCACCTGTGATCATTTTTTGTAAAGTTATGGGGGTTTAAAGATTGCCAATTTGGGACAATTAACGCGCGATAAATTTCGCGCTATTAACGCGTAAGCGGAGATTTAATCCGTCTTAGAAATCGTTCCAAATTGGTTAAAAGACGCTTATTTGCTATAATTAATCTGTTACAAGGAGCGAAATCTATCCTTTTGTACTTAATATGGCGTGTGGTGAGATGATTTTTATAAAAAATTTCAAATTTCAGAAAAAAAGTTATCATTTTATTTTATTACCTTTAATTTGTTTATAGGTTATTACTGCTCCATAAACATTAAAAGGCAGTCGGAACATTCAGGGCTTCGCCCTGATACGAGCAGTTTTGTTTCGATTTGTCTCTTGTTCAAGCTCGCGATTAGCAAGCGTTATCAAATCGGAATATAGACTTTTTAGGGTTAACAACTATTTTAAACGAATCTCTTGGTTCATAAATTCAAATTTATGAATGTGCTTCTCTGGCACACTTAGTCTGGAGGTAACGAGTACGCCAAAGGTCCTGGGTATGAATCTGAGCAGGACCTTTTTGTTCCAAACGTATTGCGTTTCAAAGAATTGTCGGCTTATTTGTCTGCTTGTGTTTTGTCGGCTTAGTTGTCTGTCAAATTTTTTTGTTGTATGCAGTTTTCTTTGTAGTTGCTCTAAATGTTTTCATTTACTCCTGCAATTTGTAATTATACTAACCTTGGCTTCGTATATTTTCTTTTTTTTTTACTTTTTCGCTTAAAAAATTTTTTGCCTAAATGATTACGGCTTATATTTTATCGGCTTACTAACCAATTTTGGTTCCTTCGAGGGAACCATAATTTGTATGCTTTCCTCCGGGTCGCACAAAGCGTTAAAAATCTAAGAATAGAATTTAAAGTTCAAAGTTTTTCATGACAACAGTTTTCATTTTAAACGCTATCGCATGTGTTTCTGGACGTGTTTTCCGCAAATAACACTCGTTTTCTGTTTTCTTTGGACTTAGTGGCTCTCCTTTCCTTTCCCCTGTCTGCTAGTTTGCAATGCTATTTTTTAGTATCGCTTAGCCTCTGTGTTTTATATTGAACCCTAACATCTTTCAGGCTAATTACCAAATGGTCTAGGGATAGCAATTGAAAAAAAATTGGTTAAAATTGAATTGTCTGTTCATGTTCTGTAAGCTAAGTTGCCAATTCACGGATTTTGCTTATGATGTAAGCATCCTCAATTCAAGCATCAGGGGAGTATTGCTAGCTTTGTTCATTTTAGTATCAGGTGAGAACTTTTTCTTGGCAAATTTCTGTAAGCAAATTTCATTGTAGTTGCAAGTGCAAGTGTTGTTCATTGTAGTTTCGGGTGAGACGTAAAAGTTAAAGACTTTTTATAATCATATTTTTCTCGTATCAACTTTGTCAGCTCAAAAATGGTTGACTTTGTTGACACTTAGTAAATTTTGTCACGTACTAGTTTACTAGTCAAATTTCTGGGTTTTTGTGTGGAATGAGTTTTTTTAATCGCGACATCGAGAAATTTTAAAGATTTTTTTCGATTTATGTTTTTAAATTGTTTTTTCATAACTTTCTACGATTTTTTTCTACTTATGTTTTTTTATGTTTTTGTTGCATAACTAATGAACGTATTTTGTAACAATTTGATGAACTTTTGTTACAGCTAGTTCTACTTAATTACAATTGATAAAAGAGTAAAAAATAAAGAGTGATTTTGTCTCAAAGTTAAAACATTAAAAGTTTCTAATGACATTCTCTCCAACGGAGAGAATAAATAAGTGAATGCCAAATACGAAAGACCTGTTTACACAATTAAGACAATAATTTGAAGAAAAAAATGACAATCACCACACAAATGAAGTTATTTTCAGATCAGTACTGTCACCATGATTCCCGATCTCGTCAGAAAAGACGGGCAGTCGCTTCAGAAGTTTTTCGAAGATAACGAAACACTTGCGATGCTTGAAGATGTACGCAAGTGGCTCGCCTCTAGTGAAGTCTTCAGCAAGTATCTCTCATCCGAAGTAGTTTCAACAAAGTCTCTAGCTGGGCTCATAATTCAAATGCTCAACTGTTATGAGACATCTTTCGGTCGAAATGTTAGCAAACCTGTGATGACGAGACTTCCGGTGAAGCTTTTCTTGGACTTCAGACCAGGCGGAGCTCTGTGCTTGATTCTGGGAACTATGTACAGAGTAAAGAGTGAACGAAATTGGCGCCGATTCGATTTCACGTCGCCGAATAGACTGGACAGTGTTGCTGAAGCTCTTATGGCCATCGAGGAATGCTTGGTTCAAGCCAAATTGTTTTCAGTGCCTATAGTGTTCATAAGACCTGACGTGGATCCAAAACTTTCGGTGAAGTTGGTTGAAATACTGAAGCGACATAAAGGAAATGTGACGAGTAATTTTGAAGAGGCAACACATGTAATTTACCCCCCTGGGCCACCTCCACCCACGGACGAAGATTTTGTGCGACCTATTTACAATAACGGTACTAACTGTCTGGTGCATCTTTGGTTTTACCCGGACAGTTGTGTCTGCTTTTTACCGTCTCATTATGTGCCGACGATAGAATCCAAAATTGACATTCATGATCTTCAAATGCCAGCTGAAAAATATGAAGTAAATGCTCGATGGGTTTTGGACTTGGATGATTTCAATGAATGGATGTGTGAGGACGATTATGCGCTGAATACAGCCGAGGGGAAGAAATTCATGACGTCACCCGTGTATCGCAACACGATCACTCCTTGCATCCCCGTGAGTTCAATCAACGAACGGGTCTCTGGAAAACGGAAGAAGTCTCCGTCTCCAGTGGCGAATAACTCTGACAAGAAGAAACGGAAAACTGCTCCGAAAAAACGCCGGGCTGATGAAGACGAAAGCAGCAGTGATATCAACTTTGATCAGAATTCGATGACTTCGCCTAATAAAGTAGCGCCAGATTCGTCCTCAAGTGATATCCCGACTTTCACTCCAGATGATGCACCCAAAGAAGAAGCTCCTGTCTCGACAAAGCCAGTTGAATCAGAGGCAAGCACATCTTTTGTAACTGCAGCATCCACATCTCAACAGTCGAAGGAAACGAGTAGCGTTAAAGAAGCTCCACAGAAAGAGGCATCAACCAATTGTGCCGCGGAGAAAGCTAACCAAAGCAGCATTGACTTCACGAAGAATCAAGTGACCGTTTTGGAAACTGCGAATGCAGCTTTGAAAGATAGCAGCTCGAAACATAAAACGGCCACGGAACAAACTCATCATATTATAATGCCATCATATGCTGCTTGGTTTGACTATAATGCGATACATGCTATTGAAAAGAGAGCGCTACCGGAGTTTTTCAATGAGAAGAATAAATCCAAGACTCCCGAAATATATCTGTCGTACAGAAATTTCATGATCGATTCCTACCGGATCAATCCACAGGAATATTTATCGACCACGGCATTGCGGCGAAATCTTACCGGCGATGTGTGTGCGTTGATGCGTATCCAGTCTTTCCTGGAACAGTGGGGCTTAATAAACTTCCAAATTGACTTGATCGACAGACCCAAACCGATGGGACCACCTGCGACTTCCCATTTCCACGTCTTAGGTGACACACCTTCGGGACTGAAACCAATTCAACCGGTCCGTCCATCAAAGATTGTTGAACCCAAGAAAGAAGTTATAAGCGAGGCAAAAGATTCGGCAAAAACAACAGAAGGAGCATCTTCAGTTGTTGATGCATCGTCGATAGCTGCTGGTGCTGGGACAGTTTTGGCCAAAAACTTAGGCCTTAGGACCGACAAGTACACAAAAGTGAAGGATAAGCAATGGTCGGATAAAGAGCTGCTGTCTCTCCTGGAAGCAGTGGAGTTGTTCAAAGATGACTGGAATCGGGTGGCTGAGCATGTTGGAACCAGGACGCAACATCAGTGTATTATGCAGTTTCTTCAACTGCCCATTGAGGATCCATATGTGGATCCGTCGAAGCTAAATGGACTGGAAGAAATTTTACCCGTTCCGTATAGCCAACAAGGAAACCCTTTGATGACTACAGTTGCGTTTTTATCATCCGTCGTGGATCCGAGAATAGCTAAGATGGCAACTGAGTCGGCTCTGGAAAAGTTTGAGGAGATAAATGAGGAATTACCGAAAGCATTTGTAGAGGAAAAGATCAAAGAAGCTGAAAAACAAGGAGTGACCGAGGTAAAGGGAATTGTGAAGTTGAGTGACATTGCAGGATGTGACGAGGAAGAAATTGTGGCTGATAATGATGAGGACGGCAAAGAAGAATCGGAAGACGCCAAGAAAGACAAGAAAAGTGATAAAAAAGATGAAAAGATTGCGGAAACCGAATCAGAAGAAGGAAAAACTGAAGAAGCTATGGAAACTGATGTTGGAGGAGCGACTTCGTCCGAGACTTCTGCCGACTCTGATGCTACGATCGAAGCAATGGGATGTGTCGCTGGTGCTCCACAAGATGATGTTTCAGAAGCAAGCAAACCAGAAAGTAAAGTTGCCCAAAAGAGCGAAGAGTCCACCGAAGGTAAATTGAGTGAAGAGAAGATGGACGAAGATTCTGAGGTTACAGTGAAGAAAGAGTACGACCCTGAAGAAGCAAAGAAGAGTCTAACAGTCGCAGCGTCAACTGCATTGGCTGCCTCAGCTGTAAAAGCCAAGCATTTGCAAGGTCTAGAAGAGCGTAGAATTAAAAGTCTAGTGGCTATTGTGATTGAAACGCAGATGAAGAAACTTGATATGAAGATGAAGTATTTCGAAGAGCTCGAAAGCATGATCGAGAAAGAACGCGATACGCTTGAATGTCAGAAGACTGAGCTAATGAAAGAGCGCCAACAGTTTTACATGGAGCAGATTAAAACTACAGAAGAGAAACTTAAAGGTGTCGGCATGGCAGATATGGCGCTTGAAGCACTGACTGCCAAGAAAACTTCTACATCCAGCAGCGAATTAGTAATACCTGCCAGTGTAGTAACTGAGAAGCCCTCACATTCTCAGGTGGCTTCAACTGGCTTTCAAAATAGCCCTACTGCGCCTCCTGTATCCCAACATTATGGTCAACCTGGACCTTCTCAGCCATCGGGTTTTGTCGCGCCAACGCAACCCACTACTAGACCGCAAGGTCCAATGAGGGGCTCTCCGGGTCCTGCTAGTCACCCTTCATACGCAGCACATCCTATCTCAAGGCAAATGCAAACAGCGCCTGGGACTGCTCAATTGCCACCGGCTGGATCTGGACATCCTTATCATCCAGCTGGGCCTCATGGTCAGATGCATCTCAGACCAGCTATGGGAGCATACGGTTCTACGTACGCTCCAGCCCCTGGATCGCCGGCTTCTGCTAGCATGCAGTCTGCTCGTCCAGAAGCTCAACAGCCTCCTGTGCAACCTCGGCCAAATTCGAGAACTCCTCAAGCTCCGCCGCAATCTGAAACTTCTGCCCCTGCTTCTGTTGGTGTATCTATGGCTCACAATCAGCATCAGCCTTCCTATGCAACTTCTTCGCCGTCTTCTTCAGTTTCATCTGCTAGTGGATCCTCGGTGTCCGGTTCATCGGCAGCCAGCGTGCAAGACTCAGTAAAATCTGGAGTGTTTCCAATCAAACAAGTTGCGAACCCTTCTGCAGCTGTCTATCCTCCTGCTGCTCAAAATCCCGCTTCGGTCGGAGTTCCGTATCAGCATCCAAAATATCCCTCTAATCAGCCTGGATCAATGGTTCCATCTAGCCAATTGGCTGCAAGGGCTTCTAGCGGCTCAAACGTGTCGCAGTCATCTATTGCTTCCAGTGCAAGTTCTCAACCGCATGCTGCGACATATGCCGGTACTGTTCCAACTCCACAACCTGCAGGTCATGGAGCTCCTAGTGGACCACCGCCTTCCTCTGCTCCGCAATCGCAAACTGGACCATCTACCATGCATTATGGAAATGAAAGACCAGGATATCCCGGTCATCCCTCGAGTATGATGAACCCTTCTGGACCCTATGCAAATTCTGGGACATCGCATCACGGATACACAGGAAACGCGCCTCCGTCAGCTCATCAAATGCCAATGTATCCTCAACAATCTGCCTCTCAAATGCCTCACAGAGGATACCAAGCCCCATCAATGCAGCAAAGTGGGCATCCAGAGAACCCAAATTATCCTCCTCAACATCAGATGCAGCATCAAGGCTACCACGCATACCCAGGGCACTATCCCCATCCTCAAATGGGTCCGCCACCAACATCGCATGCTCAATATCCTCCTCCCCATATGATGGCCACTCATTCAACGGGAGGGCAGCCGGCTCCGCTGCCAAATTCTGCGACAGCAATGAGTCAATCTGGCGAGGTTGCAGCGCCCCCAATGGAGAGTGGGCAGATAGCCGATGCCGAATCAGGAGACAGTGAACGAAGCATGGACCAGGAGTGATCATTCGGCAAATTACGGTTTTGACTTCAAAAAAAGTTGATGATATCAATTTTTTTTTGTACACGAGTTCTATGAAAATCAGTTGAACTTGTTGAATACTTCGTACGAGTTTAAATGCTTGAAAGAAACTCCTTTTTGATTTATTCGTTTATTTCTGTTGCTTTTTTGCGTTTAAATTTTTACTCTTTTTAATTTATTTATTGTCTGTCGTTATGAAAGTGTTTATATATGTAATCTAGTTGTGCAATACATGTTATGTACGTTCGTTTTCCTACTGAGCTGTTTAATTGAAAGATCATTTCAAGACATCGAAAAGTGGAACCCATGATTAGCTTAAAAAAATTATGGAATGCATGAAAATAAAATTGCATCTATTTGATACTGTTTTTATTTTAAGCGGTGTATTTCATCAAAAAAAGCATAGACAATGGGAGCGGAAGAAAATATAATAATTCAAAGTTTGATGGATTACTTAGCATCGAATGTCCGGCTTGTTGCCTTTGGGGAAAGGAAGGTGTTTCAATTTTTATGAAAAAGAATAGATTGTCTGGCTTAAGTTGTCAATTAGGAACATTTGCGAAATGAATTAGCGCGACTTTCTTGCGCCTTCCGGCTGTTTGTTCAGTTAAGTTAAAAATTCAAATCAGAGAAGCTGCTCATGAATAAGACCACTGTTTCAAAGGGATTTCAGACCCCTGTAACTTCATGCAGACGCTGTCGAGGTCCTAATGCACCCAGGTAAGTCTGCAATCAATCGCAACCAATTCTAACTTTGAATGGGCATTGAAATCTTAGCGTTATTCTGCCGGTTTTGAAGCCGCATTTTTGTAGAACGGTTTGCATTTTTTGTTTTGTTTTTTGCTTATTTTGAGTTTTTGTTTGATGTTTTTGTGAAGTTTATTTTCGAATTTCGTGAAGTTTACTTTTCGTGAAGTTCGTGTTTCTTATTTTGCTGTTTGAAAGACCATCATCAGTCTACAAAGATTTTGAACTATAATGAGCAAACAATGTTATGAGTTTTGCACACTAAAAATCCAAATGATTGCCTTTTAGGGTATACTCATTCTTGAACAATTGTACGTTGGATGTTTGTCATTTTTGTTTCAATTTACGAAGAAAGTGGAGGAAGATTTATGCGCGGGCGGTGTTTTTTAGACTCTTTTTCTAAGAAACCATATTTGACAGAATTCTTATATCATCTGAAAGCAATTGAAGATTTGCGTTGCGCTCAAATTTAAATAGCTTTCTCACTTGCGACCATCCATCTATACATATTTAATTGGCGTTTCACTTGACACATGTTGAAGAAGTATCTACGTTTAAAATGTGTGTTGGAACAATTTTTCAGAATGCTCGGTACGAATGTTTAAGTACGTCATTTAGTTCAAACTAACAACAGAATGCTATGTTTTTTCATCTTACTTCTGTTAGACGGCAAATACCTTAACTCTTCTATTTATTTGCAACCCAGAGTTTGGAAATTTAAAATTAACAACTTTCTGGTGGGGAGCTGTCAGCGTTTTCCCAGGGACTGCAAATCGGGCCCAACATAAAAAAAAACTAAACAAAATCTGAAACTCACAGCAGGGCGCTATAAGGTAGTTTCAGCGGTTGCAATTTTGACCTCCAAATATCACTTCTTAAATCCTTTTTCTTTGTACAGTTGCGAGATCAATTGTCTTGTAATCTGGAACTAGACTTTTTTTTCTGTAGTAAAACTATCCTACACATACTTAATTGAAAATGATATTGCTATATTATCGAACCTTAGCAACTTCCAGGCCCAGAGGTTCGAGTCCCTGTCTGAGCTTGTTTTTTTAGTGTGTGAAATTGAAATTTTTTTTCGGGGAAGAACGGCTCCACTATCGAACAGCAAAAATGTAAAGACCTCGAAACACATGATCGACCTCTAGTTTCGAAAGTGGAATTGAAATATCAGATTGAAATATTCGATTTAAAAATTTTCCTATTGATCCAATTTTCTCAAATTGTGTTATTTTTATCAAAAATTAACCCCAAAAAACTAAACCAAATCTGAAACTCACGGCGGGGCGCTAGAAAGTTGTTTCCGCGGTTGCAATTTTGACCTCCAATTATCACTTTTTGTTTTCTTTTTCTTTGTACATTTGAGAGATCAATTGTCTTGTAATTTGGAACTAGACTTTTTTCCTGTGAAGAACTTTTCTTACACGATTGTAATAGAAATTGATATCGCTTTATTATCGAACCTTAGCAACTTCCAGGACTAGGGGTTCGAGTTCTGGCCTGAGCTTGTTTTTTTTCAGAGTCTGAAATCGAAGTTTTTTCGGGGAAAAATTAATTAGTCTGACTATAGATTGACGGCTGATGTTTTGTCGGCTTAGTTGCCAAACCACAATGTTTTGTGTACTGTATACCAGGGGCGGATTTAGGGGGAAGGAGGCGGACGCCCCCCCCCCCCCCTCAGGGATTCGACCCCCTGCCGACCCAAAGGGTCCCCCCTTTGATACTTTTTCAGAAATCCATTTTTGGCCGACCGACCCTAAAATTTTTCTGAAGGCGCATTTGGCGCCAATATATACTAACTTTGAGGAGGAGCGCGCGCCAAAAAAAACGCGATTTTTTTGTCAAAATTTTTCAAAAAGTGCCCAAAAATGGCTTTTTTTACTGTTTTTTCAAAAATTTGCCTGCGGCGCAGAAATTTTAGCCAAAATAGGGGCAAAACAGTGCTTTGGGAAAGCTCGAAAAATCAATTTGGTCGACCTAAAAAAAGGTCTAAATTTTGTTTTGAAAATCCGCCCCCCCTTCGAGAAAATCCTAGATCCGCCCCTGCTGTATACAGTGTTTTTTGCTGTCTCAATTGCCGGTCGGACATTGTTTTTCTATTTTCTAGCGCTCATTACTCTTTTCCAACTGTCAGTCGGCTGTTTTGCTCATTGAATAATTTCGCTGGGTTAAACGTCAGCAAATGATACACTTTTGGAATAAAAGTAAATTAAGTAAAAAAATTTAATAAGAATCTCTTATCGAAATTGATGGCTATTCAAAAAAACTAAAGTATAATAGTTTTTTATAGTTAAAAAGCTGCTATGCTTTCTGCCTTTGTGGGGGTCTGATTTCTTAGCTGAAACTGCGAAGATCCGACGCCCCGTGGTTTTACAGATACAGTGATAAAGAGATCTTTTAGGTTATTGAATGATTCCAGTAGCATTCCTGCACGTTACATAGAACCTAAAATGCACTGATGACAAAAATAATGGAAACTTCAATTATTGGAGTATATTTAAATTTGACAATCAATTTTCGAACTATTCGATGATTCGCATGAAAAAGATTTGTTCTCTTAAGTTTTTGAACAGTATAATCATTTGAAAAATATATTTTGATTTGTCGCGCTAAGTGAATGTGCCTAAACGCAAAAAAAATGAAAATTTCCAAGAGATACGAGTTATGAAAATTCAAGAGTACTGTTGATGATAAATTCGAAAATTTCACTTTTTTCGCTCAAAAATTTAGGATCTCAAATTTTTTCTGATATAATGTTCATAATGCTCAAATTAATATACTGTTCCTGATAAATACTTTTGCGCAACTTGCATAAATTTGTAAATAGTAAGACACTAAGAAAAATCTAGAATTAATTAGGCAGAAAGTTAGCAAAATATCTCATTCAGAAAAACACTACCGCACAAAAAAAAGAAAAAAAGTTGGATATTTGTAATCGCTCAAGTTCAGTTCGTTTTCCAAAATGACTCCACGGTAAGTGAAAACGTTGGTTTTTTCTTTTTTCCCACCAGCTAATCATAAGTTGGTCAATACACTGTTATGAAACACACCTATACATAGAGAATAAAGCGTTAATTTTTGTTGCTCTTCAATCATTATTACGCTCGTATGAAAGCTCAAAAAAGGTACTTTTTTGAGGGCTTACATTGTTGACAATCTGTGCAAGAATTGCTGCCGTTTTAAAGAAAAGCTGAGAGGGCAAAAACTAAACCTTGCAGCTCTCAGCAGATAAGTTTTAACGTCTTCAGTTTTTTTCACCTTTCTCATCAAACTGATCTCTCAGAAAAAAAGGCTTTTTTGACTAGCAATTAGTTTTGATCAACACAGTGAATCACTAATGTGAAAAAGAGCTTTTCAAATATCTGTCTGAAGGAAAAGTTTTCAAGCAAACTAATAACTTTGCAATTTTTGGGATTTTAGAAAAACACGTCACCAAGCAGTAGAACAGAATATGTTTATGATAGGTGTCCAGTTTAAACATACCATTGCTGAAAGCATCAGATCGTCTACTTGTTTGTTTGCAGGCACCAATCACTCAGTCTCATCTATATCAGCTAGATGCAGAACAGCTACCTAATTCGCCCAAAAAAAATTTGTTCAAATCAAACAGTAGCAGGCGAATTGCTTGTTCTTTCAACATTTCTTTGCAATCAAAGCTTTTAGAAGTTTAATTATTGAGGAAAAATTCTCATCAGTTCATCATGTTTTTGACTTCTTTAGGACTACAGCTTTAATTGAAATAATTTACAGCAATGGTGTTTTCTACCTTTTTTATTTGAAACATCTCGATAGCTACCTAGCTTTTCACTCATTTTCCAGCCAAAAATATATATATATATTTTCGAATTACAACAAACTTTATTGTAAAAAATATGAACAACTGCACGATGTGCTCAGACAATAAAGAAAGAAAGTAAAAGTTTGGATAGACTTTTTCAAGATTTTAATATCAAGCCTATGCAACCCAAGTTGAGAATAATAAAACAATTTTTTATACGAAAGTAACGGAATATTTGTGCTCGGGTGGGTTTTTTTTTCTTCAGACAAATTTCGACTTTTTAACTAGCCATATTTGACGGTATTTTTTTATATCATTCAAAAGGTATTGTTGACCTGAGCTTAAATTTGAAACGATATTTCACCTGTGATCATTTTTCGTTAAGTTATGGGGGTTTAAAGATTGCCTTTTTGGCCATTTTGACGATTTTGGGACAATTAACGCGCGATATACTTCGCGCTATTAACGCGTAAGCGGAGAGTTAATCCGTCTAAGAAATCGTTTCAAATTGGTTGAAAAGCTTATTTGCCATAATTGATTTGTTACAAGGAGCGAAATCTATTGTTTTCTACTTTATATGGCGTGTGGGGGATGATTTTTATAGAAAAATTTCAAATTTTGGAGAAAAAAAAATTTTATTTTATTTTATTTAATTTAATTTTTTTATGTTGTTTATGTTACTACTGCTCCATAAACGTTAAAAGGCAGTCGGAACTTTCAGGGCTTCGCCCTGATACGAGCAGTCTTGTTATTCATTTAAACTCAATCAAAACAGAATGATGGTTACTAATATTACACTTCAAAATAATACAAGACTGCTCGTATCTGGGTGAAGACCTGAATGTTCCGACTTGCTATTAAGGTTTATGGAGCAGTAATAACATTACAAAAACTTTTTAAAAAAATAAAACAAAATGAAATGTTTTTTTTTTCTAAAATTTGAAATTTTTATGAAAATCATCCCCCCACACGTCATACAAATACAAAAGGATAGATTTCGCTGCTTGTAACAAATCAATTATGGCAAATAAAATTCGTTAAACCAATTTGGAACAACTTCTAAGACGGATGAATTCTCGCTTACGCGTTAATAGCTCGAAATATATCGCGCGTTAATTGTCCGAAATTGGCCAAGTGGCAATCTTTAAACCCCCATAACTTTACGAAAAAATATCACAGATAAAATATTTTTTCG